AAGTATGTTTTAAAAAATATTTAAAGATTGTTATTTTAATCTATTTTTCTCTTTTTTATTACATCTGTTAGTATTGAAATAACAAAAAGTCGCTTTAAATGTTAAAACTACAATTTAACAAAGTATTGTTATAATTATATATTTTCATTATAAATTTCATTTCTTGACTTCTTTTTTAGAGGCAGAAACTCTCGCGTAAAGCTCCCACACAAGTTTCGGAAATCGAACAAAAAAAATATTTTGGGTTTCCGCCGAGGTAGAAAAAGGCAACTTCGGTCGAGGATATCCTCTGCACACCAACGAGAGTAAAGACCAGCAAATTTACATGCGTCTATCTACCTAGAAAGTTACAATTCGACGAAGGAAAGACTGTAACAAAAGTGACATACACAGTCAGCGCGTAATTGCCCATGCTAGGTCGGGACTTCGTATTAAAATGAATCGCTAACCACGGAGCGTCTTTTGAATCATGCCAGCAATGATGACGCAGTCGCGTTTCCCGATTACTTATCCGCGCGGGTTTTGTCCTCGAAACAACGTCCGCGATCCGAAATAGCCATATAAACAGGGTGCCCCATTTTAAAAAACGCACCTCGATAATTCTTCAACGAAGCATTTTCAGCAAAAATGTTTCGGACAAAAGTTGTATGATTTCAAGGGGGACATAAAACAACTATACTATTTTGTTTACAAATGTCACCACTTTCGAAATATTCACTGATCATTACTTTTCTTAAATGGAAACCCCAATTTTTTATTACACCGTCTCTTTCTACCAATTAATTTAAACAACTTTTGACTGAAACTGAAAATTCTTTTGTCTAATAATTTTCAGTTAATTCGCAAAATACTTAACAAAAAACATTCAGTTATAGTGTTTCGGAAAGCCCTCGAAATAAACTATAACAATATGTAATGAAAAATAGGTGGTTCCATTTAAGAAATTTAAGATGACCTTGACAATGCTGTTCAAGGTCATACTGATATTGCTATGTAATGCATTACTTGAAACTCTACAACTTTTGTCTGAAACATTTTTTCATAAAAATTATATTTTTCGATATATTTCGGGGTCCCGGTATTTTTTCCTCACCTCGTACATATAAATTTAAGGAAGAATTAATTTATAGTATAAAGAATTTAATTTAAAGAAAAATATTTTTATAACGTACATTTATATATATATATACACACGCACACACACACACACACACACACACACACACGTTATAAAAATATTTTTCCCCTTAAATTAACCACGGGATCGAGGCGCAGAACTCGCATTCTTCGAATGCTCCCACGTGTTCTGAAGATTAAGTGCATACCTAGGTCCAATCTCGCAGGATAATGAGCAACTCTTCGATAATTTGTGACGAATTATTGTTCGGGTCGTGTCGCGACGTGATTCGCCCTTTTGTGGCGGTGAATCGCGCAAGCGGCACGCGCCAATTTACCACAGAGGGGGGGGGATTATCATACACGCGCAGGAACGGTCAGAGGCACGGTAAAGTTCGTGTTCCGTGATACACCATGACTCGGAAATTCTCCTTGACATCTTTAATTCGCTCCGGTCATGTTAGAATGTCTCACTTCCTGATTACATAACTTTTTACCACCTCGGAATTCAATAACGATGTTTTCCTTTTTCTTTTCCCTTCCTTCCTTCTATCTCCCTATCTCTCCCTTTTTCGCAAATTCTCACACATTTCTTGGGCGCATGATCGTGTTAAAGGTGCAACGCGTGCGCGACCTTAACGTCGATTTTAATAAATTAGAATAAAAAGAGGATGACGTCAAGCGACGGAGAACGAGGGAGAAAAAGCGCGTATCGATCGAAAGTCGCTTAACGAAACAAGTGTGATCCTTCGCTCTCGGAGAAGATGTGGGAGAGCGAACTAGTCGGCGACGATATGACGATTATCGTTAATTTCCAAGAAACCCGTGCACCGATCGTCCTGCTTTTATTTCGACAGGACTGACGCCCACGTCAGTAACGCGGTAATCAATTTTTCGTTCGTCCGTGTGGCGCCTCTTCTTCTAAAGATAAAAAGTAGCGAGAAAGCGAATCACAGGTTGCTTCAACGGAATTTCATCAGGTCATATCTCTCTCACAAAAGAGAGAATGAAAAAGAGAGAAAGAGAGAGAGAGAGAGAGAGAGAGAAATTTTCAATATTAAATATTAAAAAGTGAGAAGATCTGAAAAAAGTGAGAGCCCACTCACTCTCCTCTCTGTGCGGAGCAAAAAGAAAAGAAATCAATCTGAAATTTATCAGTGAGCCAAGCGCGTCGGCTGAGTTTAGACTGGCGGCTGTACACTCGCAGATGCACAAGGCCGCAAAAAATCTTCTCCAAGTGGTCATTTAATTAATCGCCGGATTAGCGAGTACAGTTCGACGATATATATATATATATATATATATATATTATATACAAAGTGTCCGAGATCTTTCGGAAACGAAAAATTATGGAAATTAAACACGAATTAAACTGAGAAGAAAGGTCAAGTGCCATTTTGCAAAAATCACAATAGTTATTAAGTTATCGCAATAGTTATTAATCGCAATAATTATTAATAATTGAGAATAATCACATCTAGAAGCTTTTTTAATCGATATAGTCAAGGCGCTATTGTAACAACAAATTCTTGAGATACGATAAAAAATTTTAGTAACACTTTTCCTTCCGACAAATAGTTAGCGATATATTGTAAGTTAAATATTGAAGAAGTTAGTTTTCCTCAAATATCTTAAAAAATATTAGGTAAGTAAAAAAATGTTTCAGACAAAAGTTGTTCAAATTAACTAGTAGAAAAAGATGATATAATAAAAAAAACTAGGGTTTCCATTTTTAAAAAAGTAATAATTAGGGAATATCTCGAAAATGGTGCCATCTGTAAACAAATTGATATAGTTGTTTTATATCTCCCTTGAAATTATGCAACTTTTGCCTGAAATATTTTCCCGTGTCGTCCATATTTTTCGAAATATTTATCTAGAGCATTTAAAATGGGACACCCTGTGTATTTATATATATATATATATATATATCATATATATACAGTGGGATTCAAAAGTAAGTCAACATTGAAACAGTAACATTGAAGAATCAATTTGTCCGCCACACAATTATCTGAAAGATTTTTTATCAATAGAACTGTCTGCGGCTTAATACAGATAGCCAATAGTATAAAAGAAAAGTGTACATAGTAGTTATAAAACAAACACATAGGTCTGTTTCTACGAAAAAAAGCCGGATAGTATTTGAAATTAATATTTTCAAAAATAAGTGGTTACTATTATTTCGTTCTTATTTTTGTGTTAAAATTATTGTAAAGGTAAGAATGTCTAAGTAAATATATTTTATTTAACGACATCTTTCTAACCTAATAATTTCTTGCATAATATAACCTAATAGTTATAAAGAAATGCCGAAAAGAACGGAAATTCCTGAAGTTACTCGAATTAATATTGTAGCCGACCACAAGGCTGGAAAATCCATTCGAGCTATTGCCAGAGATCGCAATCTTTCATTTAAAGAGGTTCGTAAAATCCTTAAAAAGATGGAAATCTATGGTATTGTAAAAAATCTTCATAGATCGGGACGAAAGAAACAATAGTTCGTGAAGATCGTGCTATCAAACTTCAAGCAACTGCCAATCCTAAAGTCTCTGCCCAGATCATTAAAGAATCAACAGAAATTAAGGCATCAATTTCAACAATCCGCCGTCGCCTTCGTGAAGCTGGATTAAAAGCCTATGTCGCTCGCCGTGTCCCTTTTATCTCAAAAGTGAACATGATAAAACGAATCGCTTTTGCAAAACAGCGTATAAATAAACCGAATGAATGCTGGGCTCATATTATTTAGAGCAACGAATCCAAATTTGAACTGTGTAGATCCAAAAGAAGGCAGATAGTATGGAGACGCAAAAATACAGCTTATAATGCAAATCATACTGTTGGAACTGTAAAACACTCTCAATATGTTATGTTATGGGGTTGTTTCTCTCGTACAGGACTTGGTAATTTAAAAGAGATCAGTGGCAGAATGGACGGATCTTATTATCGCAATATCCTTCAAAATAATCTACGAACCTCCGCTCGAAATATAGGTCTCGGGAAAGATTTTACGTTTCAACATAACAATGACCCTAAGCATACTTCGTCCATTGTCAAAAGATGTTTAGAAGAGAATGATATTAATGTCCTCGAATAGCTCCCTCAAAGTCCAGATCTAAATCCCATAGAGCACTTATGGGATGAATTAGATCGTAGAGTGCCAAAATTGAAACGAAATCTTAAAGAATATAGAGCTGCGCTATTTGAACAGTGAGTTAAAATCGAATCTAATGTTTTAATAACATTAGTTGATTTCATGCCACAGCGTCTAGAAGCCGTATTCAAAACAAAGGGAGGTCCAATACGTTATTAATTATATTACAAATAATTTAAAAAAAATTAATTTCTTCTGACTACTTACTAAAAAGTGCAAAAAAATCAAATTTCGGCCGTTTTTGTAGAAATATTTGTTTATAAAAAAATCTAACCTGCAAAAAAAATACTAAAAAAAATATGCTTTTGTACATCAGAAAAATATTTGGCGAAAATTTTAGTCCTCTACATTCAATACTCTCCGAGGAATCGATTTTTCCCTTAAAAAAGAAAAAAAAAAACCCAGCATTTTTTCAACTTTGTTTTGTTATAAATAATCACAAATGAATAATTAGGTACAAAAACCTATTGAAGTATATTGAACAACTATTCAGTTATCTGGAAAACTCAAATCCCCGATTAGTTCTTCAAAATTATGTGATTTACAACGCAAAATTGAATCAAGAAAAGGTGGGAAGTATACTTCCCACTAACCCTGAAAGGGTTAAAAGAGCCTCTAGATATAGTCATTTTCAATCACAAATAATTTAGTAACTATTGTGATTTTTGCAAAATGGTACATGACTTTTCTTCTCAGTTTGCTCCGATTAATCTTCACAACTTCTCATTTCCAAAAGATCTCGGACACCCTGTATGCATGCGTGTGTATGGCGCGCAGTCAATTCACATCCGCGTACACACCTTCGCGTACACACGCGTGAACGCGACCACCGCCGTCGCTCGCCGTCATCGTCGTCAGGATTAGCGCGCGGCTATATCGGGTGTAGCGAATAAAGGCGCGGATAGCTCGCGCCACCACCACGTCAGATTCGTGGAGCTTTGTTTACTCCGCAGAGTAAACGACCTCTTCTACAATGGCCGCTGAGGTTGTACGGTGTTGTGCGGCGACCTTCGCAAAGTCGTACGGTCAGGCCCGCGCGCACCTCACACTCGTCGCACACTCATGTGCACACATACACACAAGGATGCCGCTTTATCCCCGAGAATATACGTCGGGATTTCGGAAGAGAGGCACTCGGCCGTAAGTCACAGCCTTGAGGATACTTCGGCCTTCTTCGCGCCACGACGGTGAACGAATCGAGAGGAAACGAAGAATTCAGCGAAACTCCCGAGCGGCATCTGATGACGCGGCGTGTATTCATTTCCTTTCGCGTTCGACTCGGAATACCGCGGAAAACGTCGCTGCCAGAAGGTCCGCGAACAAGCGGAAGGAGCGAGACAAAGACCGCCGACCGTCTCGGGAAAAAAATGGTCGCATCGGCCGACGAGCTTTCTTTCGAGAAGTGCATGTGGAGGGGGAACCTTCCATGAATGATTCGCGTGAAAAACAAGACGTCGGAGAGGCGGCGCACGTCGTTAGATTTGTTTACTCCGCTCCCGTTAGGCGTTAAGCGGGGTACGACTATCGAGAGCACAAAGGACAACAGGAAGAGAACGGAGACGGCCGAACGGGAAAGGAGGTAAGAAGGTTAACAGGCGCGATAAGAAGCCGGGCTCGGAAATAGAACGGAGCCGAAATTAATCGCATTATCGTAGGGCAACGACGGCAAAACGGCGACAGAGATTGGCAGGAGGTGGGAGAATTATGCGGAGAATTTGCGCGCTTTCGGAGTGCCGCGCGCCACCCCGAGAGAACCACCGGGGAGTTGTGTATATTCCTTGTCCTGTATATGCACCAAGACGCACTAAATTTAGAGCAGGTAACACAGCTACGAGACCAAAAGTGTGCTGCTTGAGTTCGTATTTAGACGCTAATAATGTCGCGGTATATCGCTCTCGAGCCATCGCGGCCCGCCGCGATCATCCTCGGTTTCTTTTTCCTTCTTTCCTACGCACCGGCGGAACAAAATATCTGAAGAATACGAAATATTTGCTCGGTGCGAGTGCTAACGACATATTTATACTTGTGTTGACATACACGTCCTTGCACCGAGCAAAATTTCCAAGAAGTCACATCTTAAAAACTATATATTTTCTTGAAACCACAACTCTCCCCTTCTCATAAAGAAATACATTACATTAAAACAACATTGTTGCTTCTCTCTCTTACGTAATGAATTTGGAAATTTAATAAGAATTCGGACTTAAACAAATATGTTACCAGCGCCCGCTGAGTAACCCTTAGCGGAGTCTAACCTTAGAAATTTAATATAATACCCAAGAAAAAGTAATTTCATGACAAGCAAAATCATCTAAATTTTAGAGGATTTTATTCTCATATATGGCCTCAAGAGGATTCCTCTAAGATTAAGAGAAAAATATTATAAACACATTATTCTTAAAGTTAGAGGGATTATATGTTATATATGTATATATAATGCAAATCTTATTAATTTTAATATAAATTTCCTCTTATACGCAGATTATTTAATCTTTTCTTTAAGAGGATTATTATTTATTCTTACTATACTTTATTCTTACTGGTTATACTAGTTAATTTGAAAAAATTATTATAATATATACCGAAATTTAGATGAAAAGTAATATATATATATAAAGGGTGTCCCAAAATTCACGCAAGATTTAAATTTTGCGCCATTTGTGCGGTAGTGTTGCCAACGAAAAAAAAAGACAGCGTGACAATAAACTGTATTTGACCAAATATAGATAAATTATCTTCGTTATATGTTACAGCAACACACATACTTTCCTAATCCTTTCGTGCCTGACTTTTTTCTAGAAATAATTTGCATCTATATCTATAAATAATTGACGTTTTACTAGAGGTTTTTAGGGTCGCTGATTATGAATCTGTAGTCAAAATTTCAAAATTCAAAATAGCGAATTCAATATGGCGAACCAAAATGTAAAATTTTCTTGGATTTGAATAAAATTCATATTCCAGAGATTTTTGGAGTCGCTGATTATGAATCTGTAGTCAAAATTTCAAAATTAAAAATGACGAATTCAATATGCACAGCGTATAAAGTTCCACTCTGTCCCATTCTGTGCTTCAAAAAATTCCGCGAAATGTGAATAAAACTTAGTCGACCTTTTTTATTTACATTTTGTCAGCTATATTAGATATGATTATATTGAATTTGAAAATTTTTACTTTAGATTCGTTACCAGTGACTCAAAAAACCCCTGAAAAATATGTTACAAATCCAGAAAAATTTCATATTTTGGTCCGCCATATTGAGTCCACTATTTTGAAATTAAATAGCAATTTTGTTTCATATAGTCCTTACGTTGACCTTCAAAATGAGTCCAGGAAGAACTTGCTATCTTAATTTTTGTGGAATATATATATGTATTTTTCACTTTTACCCTATTTTACAAGTATTTAACGAGATATGTAGATTGGAGGATGAAACAAGGGTGTTGATTTTTGTGTGAAGAGTTCTATCTTTCTTCTTTAAAATCAGCTCAAGAAGAAGTCGCTATCTTTATTTTTGTGGAAGATATGAATTTTTGAAGTTCTGGGACATACATGTACATGTCCCACTAGGCACGAAAGGTTAAAAAACGTTCTAAATATTCTGACCCATGAGCGTATAGTTATTTTTTTATGTCTAGAGGTAGAACATGACTGAGCAAAAGAAGCCGACATTCAAATCAACATATGCCTCTTCATAAGAAAATTAATTGATACAAGAGAAAATCCTCTTAATAAATAAGAGGAAAACAATTAGAATAATATCTAATAAATTTTAGATGAATGGTTTATTTTAATCGCTTTATCGAAAGAGGAATCCTTTTTCTGTAGAGGCTTCGCTTAGAATATGAGACTGGAAAAAATCACTTTACAAATATAATACTTCTTTTTGAGTGTTAAGAACTTAGATTTTTAAGTAAATACGTTATCAATATCTAACATAAAGATAAATAATTTTTTATTTCTTAAATATTTCTTTTCCAAGTGTATCTCCTCCAATATTCTGATTCTTATCTGTCAAATACATCAAGGTAATCGTACCTCCGATATTTTTGTGTATCCCTTTTATTTTTCAAGTTTTATCTTTTTATATATGTTCCATATTATAGATACTGAGTTTGTACTTTTGAATACTTGCATGTTTTACTGCATGCCGTGCGCATCGAGTTAGGACTGTTAGTTCAATACGTAATTAGTACGACGCTTAGAACGCTTAGGAAAGTTTCCTCTTAGAGTGCCAAACAAATCTTCTCTTTCTCTCTCTCTCTCTCTCTCTCTCTCTCCCCCTCTCCCTCTTATCGATGTTTCTTCTTAACCCGATCTTAATGTACCGTTGGTAAAACCGGGAAATCATCGGGGCGGAGGAATTATAAGGCGCATGAGAATGTAATTTGCACCGATCGCGAGAATTTAAAAATAGACCCTACCCACAGAGTCGTAAACAACAAACTCGCGAGTCCAGACGATGAAAGACGGAGAGGAGAAACGCGCACATCGGACACGTGTCTCATGGCGCACACGCGCACGCTGCCAACTTTAGCATTAGGCCTCTTGTTCGTTTTGCTCGCGTCTGCCGAACTTTGTTTCTTCCTTCTTTGTTTCTGCGAGGAGAGAGAACGAGCGTTACATATATTCGTTCGGTTTTACGTGCGAGAGCGTGACGCGCGCGCGCACGCATGTGTGTAGGTGTAAACGACCACGACGACGACGACGACGACAACGACGACGACGACGACGACGACAACGACGGGACAGACCGATTAATCGATCAACACACAACCAAGTCCCGAAAAGTTGCCGAGTTTTTCGCGACGAGCACACGGAGAGTGGGAGGGGAAACGCGAAGAGAGAGGGAGGGAGAAAGACGGGAATGTACGAGCAGGATTTTTGGCGACTTTGACCCTAATCTAATCCGCGACCTGACCGTGAACCAAATTTCGCGCGGTGAATAGCCAGCGAGAAAACGCGAGAGGCGAGTCGTCGATTGACTCGGGAAACGCGCGGCGGTTTCTCGTCCGCTATTACGCGGATCGCTATTGTTGTTTGCACGATTGTTTACGTGCAATCACGTACGAAAATGCATTTTGCGAGCGGTAAACATTCTCCCGCGTTGAATTATACGGACGCAAACTTGCGGCGCATTTAATCAGCGGAATCGTCGGCTCGATCGACGAAAACAGGTTTTATCGTAATTGACATATTTTCGCGTGATAGACTAGTGCTCGTTCGTTCTCTCTCCCTCTCTCTCTCCCCCCCCTCTTTCTCTCTCTTTCTTGCTCCGTCGTATCGCCTAGTGTGCCGTTGCGAATCGTGCAGGAAACGAAGGCGACGCATTTGCCTTTTAAAAGCGTCAACTTCCCGACACGTAAAATGAGTTTCCCCAACTAATTTCTTTGTCGCGCGAGCCGAGGCGAGCACGGATCCAGGATTCGTCTATCAAAGTCAAAATGACGTTTTGCTTTGGTGTAACGGACACGAGAGCGCGATCGCGGATATAGACGCGCGCCCGGTGAGGTATCGACATTTTATTCACATCGGGCTTCTCTGCTTAAAACGGATATTTTTGCGCATATCGATATCGCTGCCGCGGCGCAGACGTGAAAGATATCTCCCTCACGTTCTCGCGATAAACGCTTCAAGTTCAATACGCGAGCGCAGTTCACAATGGCACGGCGTAACGGAACAACAATACGGTCAGTGGCGGAAAGATTGCAAAATTGTTTTCCCTAACGAGCCTTGCGGCACGTCCCATGTGTACAGAACGTCTCATAACTCGCGACCTTATTTTTATTGACTGTTCCCGGAGCAATTTGCAGATAATGACATTTTTCCTTGATACAACTATCAAGGTACATCGTTACTTTCCACTTCTCATTATAAAATACCTTACGTAGTTAGGGTCCATGTCGAAATTCTGTTAACCCTTTCACTGTTAGTGGGAAGTATACTTCCCACCTTTTCTTGATTCAATTTTGCGTTGTAAATCACATAATTTTGAAAAACTAATCGGGGATTTGAGTTTTCCAGATAACTGAATAGTTGTTCAACATACCCCAATAGGTTTTTATACCCAATTATTCATTTGTGATTATTTATAACAAATCAAAGTTGAGAAAAATGCTTTTCTTAGGAATTCCTCGGAGAATATTGAATGTAGAGGTTTGAAATTTTCACCAAATATTTTTCTGATATACAGAAACATATTTTTTTTCAATATTTTTTTGCAGGTTAGATTTTTTTTTATGAACAAATATTTCTACCAAAACAGCCGAAATTTGACTTTTTTACACTTTTTAGTTCTCTTTTCCTAGTTTTCTCATTCTGTATCTCTATCTCTTATCCATACTATATATCCATACTCGTATCAATATTATTTTACTAAAAAATGAATGTTTAATCTCTAATAAGCATAAATATGCAGTATTGAACATTTTCCCACATAAATTCTACCATTTTGAATTCTGCAAATCTGACTTCAGATTCGTAATTAGCGACCTGAAAAACCCATACACCATCAATAATAATTGGAATTTTCATTAATTTTGTACATCATGATCGCCATATTGAGTCCGCCATTTTGAATTTTGCAAATCTGATTTTAGATTCGTCATCAGCGACCCAAAAAACGTAGGATCACCAAATATTTTAATAATTTTCTCAAGGGAAGTTAATTCAGCAGTGAAAGGGTTAAAGTAGTTTATCTGAAACCGAGCGTAATTTTGTCGTTCGTATGAAACCTTTTACTCTTGAAGTTTACAAACATTCCCACTTGTATCTCGGAAAATATTGATGCCCCATTTTCGCAGAGGGAAAATAAGAACTGAATTGTTCAGGGAAATTAAGGTGTCAATTTCTGTTCTATATAGGGTATCCCACTTTAAATGAATCAGGCAAAAATCGCGAAAAATATAAAAGATACTAAGAGACGTTTCAGACAAAAGTTGTATGGTTTCAAATTTTACTCTGGTTTCAAGAATATATTGTCAAGAATGTATTGTAAGAATATATTGTTACAATAGCGCCGACTTTTGTTAATTTGATAATTTTGAAATTTTTAAAAGTCGATAAATTAACAAAAGCTAGAGCATTATTGTAACAATATATTCTTCAGACTAAATAGAGTAGGAAAGTCTAGTACTATTTTTTCTTTCTATAAATCTATAAATAATTAGCGAGATATCGTAAGTTAAATGTTGAAAAAGTTACCAAGAGTTTTCTCGGCTCATATAAAATGGGACACCCTGTATATCTAATAGAATTTATCTTTCAATAATCT